GTGACCCAAGTAGGGTTCTCCAGAAAAAGTGGTGCCGTAGAGTAACGCCCCTTTTGTTCTTGTCCAATCAGGTGGTGCCGTAYGGTATCGCCCCTTTTTTGCTTGTCCAGTCAGGTGTGTCCCTTTAACAAAGTCCGTCAAATCAGGTGTGTCGCTTTAGATTCGCCTTTCCTTGTGACATGCCCACTCGTCCGCAGAGACCCCTACTTGGAAAAATGTAGCACTAACTAGATCAGACAGCAGCTTTACTTTGCACTAAGCTGGATTCTAGTCTTGTGTTTGTGGGACTTTCTGCATCCAGCTGACTTCATTCTGTCTTTGCTTCCTCCACCTTCAACATGTTCTGGGACATTTGGACAATCCTGGACCTGATGTGGCTCCAAGCACCTTTCAAGGAGCCACAGTCCAGTGAAGCAGCACCTTCCAGCCTCTCCAAGCTCCTCACACACTTTGACACATCTTTCTGCCTCCTAGTTTACATTTCAAAGCACTGAAGTTGACTTTTGAACTTACGTTAGACTCTTTCAGCGGCTTCTTGCATCCTGAAAACAGACAGAAAATAATGTGAGTTTGAAGCTTCTGATGTTTGTTGACTGCTTCTGTTCTGATCTGAAGCGTCTCACCTCTGGTTCTGATGAGACCAACAGTGACTCCCATCATTAGGATCAGTCCTGCGAGGCGCAGAGTCCACRTGATGGACTTTAGAGGAGACTGGACTCTGGGATCTGTGGACAACATGGTAAACAGTTAAAACACAGAGTCTTTGCCAGTGGGAATGTTGAAGAACAATCGAAAGGTTGATTTGATTTATCTCCAAACTAAAAGACGTCTTACCTGTGAAGACAGGTGTGTAGTGAGCTTCTATCTTCACTGTGTTGTCTTCTACAAATTGGCAGCTGAAGGTTCTGTTTCGGCTGATCTGTGGCTCCACAGTCAGGTTGGAAACACAGTTACTCTGTTCTCCTGAACTGAACCAAGCATTTTCACGGAGCAGCTGAGCTCCCGTCTCGTCCGCCCAGCGGAGGCCGTCCACTGGACAGGGACCGGCTCCAGCGTGTCTCCTCAGAGAACACTGCAGTGAGACATTCCCACCAATATCTGATGAAGAAACTGAAGGAAGACAAAAGCAGAGCATGAGAGAGAAAGCTCGAGTCTGCTGCGACAAAGGGTCTTTGCATTAAAACTACTCACTGGTCAAAACACTCAGATACACAAAGTCCTGCTGGAAGTTTCCTTCCAGCCAGCAGATGTAGCGTCCAGCATCCTCAGCTCTGATGTTGGTGATGATCAGAGAGCAGAAGCGGCTCACGCTCAGCCTGCCAGCTCGACCAGAACCCTGAAGAACTTCTCCATTTTTAACCTCCACCTGAACCTCGGTTTCCAAACCTCTGTTGTAAAACCATCTGAGAGTGGAGCGGGAGCAGGAGGACGAAGGAACGCCACACGGCAGGACGGCTTCATCTCCAGCTCTGTGGTACAGAAAGACGTTTGCTCCTCTGCCGGTGCCTGCAGCAGGAAGAGGCGCACACCAAAAACCGCTCGACAAACACACTTATTTAGATTAATTATCACAATAAAGTTCTGACCCTAAGGAGACTGAAACTCAGATCATTTCAGCTGATTTTTGCTTCTTGTCAGGTCTGATTATTAAACCCATGGTACCTGCAGAGACAGGTGTGTAGTGAGCGTCTATCATGACGCTGTCTCCTTCAACAAAGCGACAGCTGAAAGCTCTGTTCCAGTCGCTCCAACGGGTCGTCGTAAGAACAGAAACACAGTTCGTTTGTCTTCTGACCTCGTAGCCGTCAGCTCCATCAGTCAGCTCTGTTCCAGTCTCATCCAACCAACGGAGGCTGTCCACTGGACAAGAAGAGCTGAAGCTCCTCAGAGAACACCTGAGTGAGACCGCTCCAGCTGTTGTCTCTGATTCTGATGGAGAAACTGAAGGAAAATAACAAACAACTGTTGGTAAACATATCAATTTCAAGCATCACAGTTGAGGGTAGAAATACACCAAACTTCCCAGTACAGACCTGGTACTACCTTGGTATGTACCTGGTGTGTAGCGGGTACTTACCCATAATGCACTGAGAATGCATGGGGTACATACCAAGTCTTCACCTAGTATTTACCAAGTTCATACTTTGTACCAACATATTATGTAAGCACAAAGCATGAACTTGGTACATACTGTACCTACCTTCCTACACAACTACCTACATACCTACCTACCTACATATCTACCTACCTACCTACCTACCTACATATCTACCTACCTACCTACCTNACATTTTGTTTAGATTAGTCTCAGAGCCACAGACACAGGATCTGAGGAGGAAATGAGGAATTAAATCTGAGAATAAACATTTTAACTGAGAACTGGATCGACTTTTCTGAATTATTCAGGCTTTGTCGTCCAGGTCTGAGTGCTAAAAGAGCAACTCACAGCTCGTTAAAAATACACTCAAACTGCTTCCTAACGAGGTGTTTGATGAGAATAACGTCATCTGCTTTATCTGAACATCTTTATTTCTGCAGCTCTGTGGAAATAGGTTTAAAATAAACATCCTGTTGAACACTTCACACCCTCTGACATTTGTCATCTGTGGGTGATATTTGTCTAMAGCCTCTTCATCCGACTCATAGTCAAAAACTTTCTTTTTTATTTACAGTTTTGTTGTGCTTGTGAGCCTTTCCAAAGCTGTAAAAAATAGCAAAAAAAAATAAACATGGTTGAAACAAAAAAGAAAATATATAACTCTAAAATACTTCATTGCTTTCCTGGTAATATCTTTAAATATAATCAAATGTTTCTGAAGAACGCCCACTTCCTTTTGACAGGTTTATTAAAAGTTGTGAGACGTATCAGTTCCTGGTTTCTGGTGGTTTCTTGATGCGGCTGTAGAGACTGTTTGGACACATGTCCTCCTCTGTCTTCACCCGAGTCCTGACAGCAGAATAAGTCACCAAGTCCTCCTCCTCTCTGACCTGCAGCACACAGATGGAAACCAGCAGGAGCTTTAATTAGATGCACAGAACACTGAGAAGTTTGCTGACTCACACAATGTATCCCATAATAGTTCAGGTAATTTTTTTCATGATTAAAGTGTAAAAGCAGCAGCTGAGTCTCTTACCTTCATCTCATGAGAGGCTTTTGGGTTAAAGTGTTGAACAGAGGCATAGGTCACAGAGGAATCTGCTTCATCCTGAAGACAAACAGGAAGTAGTTTTAGGTTTTGGTGAGTGGGGATGGATGAAGAACACTTCTGAGCAGAAGCCTCTTATGTGAGACCAATGCTCTACACAAACCAAACCTTCAGTCCCCAATTATTCTCTCTTTGACTCCTCAGAGCCAGGTTGTGGTCTAAGTAGTGCAAAGACGTCTGCAATGCCACAGGTATCACACAGACCATTGTCATGGAGTCCCTTCACCATTTTGTGCTTGAGCAGATTGTGCCCAGTTAGGACTCCAACCAGTGTACTTAGAGTTTTCCTTGTCAGGGAGATGAGAGCTTTCACAAACCTTAGATTTGGACCATTCATCAGTTCCTGTGCCTGTCTTCAGTCCGTCAACTCCCTCCAGAGAATTGAGTGTTGACGTCTAATCCAGGCCTGTAGGGCAGTCCTACAGACTGTTGTTGAGGTACCTACAACAGGCTCCAGTCCTATGAAGTTAGCCTGACTGCCAGTTTTTGTAAGTTAGTCAGCTGTCTAATACCATTAATGCCAGTATGTCCTGGTACCCATTTAATATAACTTTTATGGACAGAATTTCTAGGCGCAGCCAATGTGTTGAGGGGATTTGTTTTTGGTGACCTTAGGAT